CTGGGTAGGAGAGGTTTTCCTTGACTTTGAGTGTAAGTATCTCCTTCTCCTCCTTCCACGTTCTGCAGGATCGAGAATATGCAGGGTGGGGATCCCCGCAGTTCACACAGTGTGCGTCGTTGGTGCAAGTGTCTGTGAGGTGGTCATTCTTGGCAAATTTCGCACAAGTGGCTTTTCCACGGCATTGCTGGGAACTATGGCCAAACCTCTGGCATTTGAAAGACCTTCGAGGATTAGGCACATAGGGCCGAACCTTGCAGTGAAGATAGCCAGCTTTCACGGCCTCTGGAAGTGTGGCGGACTCAAATGTTAGGACGATGTGCTTTGTCTTGTGTGCTGTGCCATCACGACGAATTGTGATTCGTCGTGCAGCGACAACTCCTTGGCTAGAGAGGCCCTCCACCAGCTCTGTGTCATATGTGTCTAGTAGGTCATCCTCAAAGATTACTCCTTGGACGGTGTTCAGTTTCCGGTGAGAGGCGACACTGACTTTATAGTCTGACACAGAGTTGAGACCCAAGAGGGCATCACTCTGCTGCTTTGTACTGATTTCTACAAGGAGGTCTCCAGATGCCATTTTCTTTGCATTGAAGTTTTTGCCAACAACTCCCTCTAGAGCCTTAGCTACAAGGAAGTGTGACAGTTTGCCCAGTGGCTTTTCATTTTCAGAATGAAGTACAAGAAACCTTGGAAATGTTTCAGAAACAAATGACTTTTCAGACTGGAGCGGTACTTCGGTGCGGACCCTTTTCGGAGCCCGATCAGAAGGTTTTTTAATTTGCAGACCCATAAAGATGGAGAATAAAATTCAGTGCCCGGGTGCACCACCCACCACGGAGCCCAACGGAGGGTAGGTAATGTGCCATAACAAGAAAGGCTTGGCTGACACAATTACTCTGCCAGTGCTGCCCGGACACTATACCCTAGTGTGGTTGCAGGGAGAGGACCTGTTTCCACTCAAGGTTGGCCCTTGCCGCCTAAGGAGGTGAAAAAGGAAGGAAGAGAGTGCAGAAGAAAAGGAAAAAGAGGTGGGAGGAAACGTGAAAGAAGGAAGAAGAGGGTAGAAGAGGCGACTGACTGGATCATCCTGGTCGGGCCAAGCCAGGACACCCGTCTACGAGAAGCAGGGACCGACGCGGTGTATTGACTCGCCCGGGGGGCCCCGAAGGGTCCAGACATACCCCGGGCTCAACTCGACCACCAGGATCCCCTCTTCCCCGGACACGGGTACGCCACGCACAGCCAGACGTGGGTGGGCGAACCCACATGGCTCGGGGTTCGTAGTGACGCCACTCACCAAGCACCTACTAAAGTAGGTGCCCCCTGCGTGCGGGTATGGTAGCCCACGTGGCTGGGGTCCATGGTGACGCTACTCACCAAGCACCTAGCACCCGAGGTGCAGGCGCCCCCTGCGGGGCTCGGGGTACGTGGAGACTCCACTCTCCAAACACCTGCTTTCACAGGTGCCCCCCGCGGGGAAACAATCACGAGAATTATCATATTGTAAGAGATTTCTGCAGCTCAGCCACGCTGAAAGGTGGACCGCATGCGCAGTATCGAAAATGCTGACGTTGACGAGCAATTTTAAAAGTGATATGACAGGCCCTTGGAGTATATCGGGCGCTTGTTCAGGGCGACTTCGAATTACGCTCAAATATTGTGTAACCAAGGAGTTGGTCGAAAATTAACAATCAATAGGAAGCTGAGGGAACACCGTTCCCGTGATTCCTTGAGTGCGGGCCGGGGCGCTTGGGAATACTGCAAATGATGGGCTTCACCAAAGCTTGCTATCTGTCTGTTCTGGCTTAACTTTTGCTCCCGAGCTCGCTCAAAAGTGTGTCTTTCATCTCCCTAGGAGTGCGTGCATTGTTTCATCCTCAAGATCCTCGAAAATAATTTTCCTCCAGGTGGAGTCAGCTCACAGGGAAAGAATAAAAACACTGAAAATATGCGAGGGACAGACACACAGCTCTTTCAAAGAGCAACAACATTTAAATGATGCCCATCACACTATAAAGAACCACTTTGGTCACAGAGAAAATTAACTAAATACTAGTAGAAGATGTTACAAAAAAAATAAAAATAAAGATAGCTGAATTTAATTTCCTGAAAAAGAAGAAGAAAACTGGAGGAGACTTTTTCTACGACAACTCTGGCGCTAGGAATTCCAGCTCTGGTGCCGATAACGACATCGAGGGCTCGGAAACATTGTCTGTGGCACTCTTGATCTTAAACGCTTCAATCATTTCTCGCCCATACTTATCCTTGTGTGAGCCTAGCATGGTGGTGTTTTCATAGCTAGGGGTGCAATGTTGGCAGGTGCGGGCATGAACAACAATTGGATGGTAAGAGTCTCGGATGAAGCCTTGTTCACTTTGAGAAAGTGTTCCCTAAGGCGGACATTCGGGCATCGTCCCGTCTGGCCGATGTATTGGCTGCCTCAACTGAGCGGAATAGAATAAATTGGCTTTTCTTGGCATTTAACGTATTTCTCGGAGTGCTTGATGGTAAATTCTGGTGGACGACTTTTGTTGTTCACCCTTTGGCACATTTGTTTTAGCGTCATCCTACATGTGAAAACCACCTTCGTGTCGAACCGGGCAGCGAGACTCTTCAGGCGGTGGGCGGTATTATGCACATATATGCTAGCCGGGCGTGTGTGTCTGTGTCCTTTGTTGTTAGATGAACGACGGTTCGGGTCTGTGATGAGACTCTGCAGGGTAGAACGGAGGAGGTCTGCTGGATGCCCGGCTTGGAGAAGCCGGGTATCCAGCTTTCCGCGTGAACTGTGGAGTCAGTTATTCCTAAACTGGTGGATCTCGATTCTGGAACCTTGAGCATCTCGACTTCAATGCGTGACTAATGGTCTGAACTGGTGCAGAAGGTGGGGGGGGGGGGGGGGGGAGGAGGAGGAGGGGGGGAGAAGATTAACCTCGATGTGTCAAGAACGGTATGAATTGGCGCAGAGGGGGAAGGGGAAAGCGCTTTAGAAGCGGTTTTGTGGACACTTTTGCATGTTTCCTGTGTTTCTTTCTTACCCTTTGCCTTCTTTTTTTTAGAGCGCAGCTCTTAGGGGCCCGTTTCCAGCCTGAGCGGCGTCGGCGTAACCGGGGGGGGGGGGTCACGTGACCCCCCCCCCCGAGGTCACGTGATCCCCCCGAGGTCACGTGACCTCGGGGGGTAATTTTAGAGCGCAGCTCTTAGGGGCCCGTTTCCAGCCTGAGCAGCGTCGGCGTCGGCGTAACCGGGGGGGGGGGGGTCAGGTGACCCCCCCCAAGGTCACGTGACCCCCCCCCCCGCGATCACGTGACCCCCCCCTCCCCCGAGGTGACGTGACACCCCCCCCCCCCCCCCGAGGTCACGTGACTACCCGCAGGTGACGTGACCCCCCTCAGTACCCTTCCCTACTCCTCCTCAAGAGCTGCGCTCCAATTCGGCGTTACAAGGATTTGTAAACGGCTTTCATTTTTTTAGAGCGCAGCTCTTAGGGGCCCGTTTCCAGCCTGAGCGGCGTCGGCGTCGCCGTTGGCGTCGCCGTCAGCGTCGCCGTCGGCGTCGGCGTAACCGCGCCCCTCCCTCTCCTCCTCCTTCCCCTCCTCCTCCCCCCCTCCTCCTCCCCTCCTCCTCCTCCCCCTCCTTCTCCTCCTCCTCCCCTTATGGTCCGGGCGGGTCACGTGACCTCGGGGGAGGGGGTCACATGACCCGTTTCCAGCCTGTGCGGCGTCGGCGTCGCCCCTCCCCCTCCTTCTCCTTCCCCTCCTTCTCCTCCCCCTCCGCTCCTCCTCCTCCCCCCTCCTCCCCGCCAAGGTCACGTGACCCCGGGGGGTGACTCCCCTCCCCCCGCCGGTCACGTGACGGCCCGCCCAAGGTCATGTGATCCCGTCCCCTCGAGGTCACGTGACCCCCCGGACCTCTGCCCTCCCCCTCCTCCTCCTCCCCTCATTGTCTAGTATGGTCCGGGGGGGTCACGTGACCCCCCGCTGAAGTCTTGTGACTTATTTTCAGGAAACAAGCTACACAAGTACTCGGAAGAGAGGGAGGGGGAGCAGGAGCGGAGGAGGACTAGCAGGCATGATCACGAGGGAGGAGGAGGAATATACCCTCCACTCCTCCTCCTCAAGAGCTGCGCTCCAATTCGGCGTTACAGGAAGTTGTAAACGGCTTTCACTTTTTTAGTTTCTAGGCATAGGAGCTTGTTCTCGCATTTGAATCGGGTACAAAGGAACCGCTCTTGGTTATTGATCAGCGACAGTGGCTGTTGTCCTCGAGTCGATATTCCTCCTGAGCATGCATGTGTGTCGTTCATTCGCGTACTCATCAACAAGTCAGCCTGCCTCGTCAACTTTTAGTTCGGCTGTTAGGGACATGCAATGCCAGACTACATGCCGAAACCGCGTATCGCGGCAAGGCATATTACGCCGTCATGAGTCGAGCCTGCCTTCAAACTAAAGCATGGAACGTGCCATGTTTACGATAAGTGAGTTCCATTTCATCCTAAATAGAGCCCAACAAAATGTGATCTTCAGCGAAGTCATCAACATGACTTCATGACTTTTCTTAAATTACCAGCTTGCAGCAATCTTGCCAGTAACTTCGAATTAATTCAATTACTTCTTTAAGTACGTGTACTGTAATCAAGATAGTTCGTACACAAATCTAACTTGAATACTACTCTAAATACATTTGCAAATGGGAATTTTCCAACTTATCTTAAATATCTTTGTTAAGTATTTGGCGCAACACTGGCATCAAGCAATGGCGGAAATTCGTTGGCGCAGACTTTTGAAAGAGGTCTATTATAAAGAGTTAATCAGCGCTATCTATTTTAGGACCTAACAAATTGACACAGAAATCTGATTTGCAGCTCTGCCTTTAGGAAAAGTAAAAGTGAAATATAAACATCTTTTTTTTTTAAATTAAAAAGAGCAGTTCTGATATCACAGACGCTTGCGAGAGAAAACAAAAAAGCGCACAGGCAACGAGAATACTTCGTGTCTTACCACTCCAACGCGGGGGGTGCAAACCCCATCTGGCAACTTCGGCGTACCGGGTCGTTGGCACCTCAATGTGCAGGAATATGGATCATAATCAATAAACATCTGTAACACGTTTACATAATGTCATGAAAAAAAAATAGAAGCAGAGATGAGGAATTAAACAGAGTTGCATGAATCAAAATATCTCAATTTGGACGCAAAATATAATCTCGATCCTACGAATCAAGTCGACATACCCAAAATGTGTTTCCGCAGCCTCCTATACGGCGGACGTTTGCGTTATTTATTTCTTTATTTATTCTGCTTAATGTGCCCACAAACAGCTCGAGGCCTTATTAGTGCGCACATATTACAAACAATGAAAGAGCAGATACAGACCAACAAACAAGCAAGACGTGATTTAGAAAAGATAAAAGGAAATAAATTAAACTACGGAGAACGATGGAGAACAACAGAGCACAGATGTTTGCCAAGCGGCCAACAATGCTCTTCTAAAATTTAGAAGGGGTTAAAACAATTCTAAATCCCTCCTATCGCGATTGTAAAGGAGCTGAAGGCGTGTCATCGGCAACTGTACACAAACTCTCTGCGGGTAGAAAAGATAAGAAAATCTGGTCCGCTTTTGGGGAACACTGAAAGAAATCGCACTCAAAAGTAAAGGTGCATCAATTGTAGCGTTCACTATCTTATACAAAAAAGTCATGTCTCGCGCGAATCTTCTTTTATGCAAGGGTACCAGGTCAAGCATATTAAGTACGTATTTATATTCAAAATAAATGCGCCTCCCAATCCATTGATCGTAAACAATACGCACGAGATGACGCTCCACTTTTTTTTAAAATACATGATTGAGTCGATCCAATGGTGTTCCATATGACTGAGCAGAACTCAAGTTTAGACAAAACAAGGGCGCGAAATAGATGAATCATGCTAACGTAAGTACGAAAATTCCGCGTCATTCGGGAAATAACGCCTAGCACCTGATAAGAATCATTCACAACTTTCGAAACATGCTGAGTAAACGAAAAGCTGGGGAATCAAACAGCACTCCTAGGTCACGAATAGTATCGGACCTCGCGATAGCTGAACCTAACATGGTATACGCATACTCAATGCAGCTTGTCTTACTAGAAAAGGAAACAACCTTGGTCTTGCTGGGGTTAAGTACTAAAATATGTTTTTAAGCACCAGTTTAGAACTCTCTGAACATCGTCTTCCATCTTTAGACAGCCAGTATTTGAATGAATGTCGCGATAAATCTTAACATCGTCTGCAAACTGCAGCGCCTGTGAACCCTGCACACTGTCTGCCAAATCATTCACAAAAATGTTAAATAACAACGGCCCCAGGTTGGACCCTTGAGGCACTCCAGTATTTAAAAACATATGAGGCAGAAAAACACCCTTCATACAGCACTCTATTAGGTCTTCTGCCAAGATAACTAAACAACCAACTGCAAAACGAGCTAGTCATGCCCACCGCTGAACATTTGGCGAGTAACAACTTATGATCTACGAGACCGAAAGCTTTAGAGCAATCGAAATAAATAACATCAACTTGCCCACGGGACGTGACCTTAGGTAGAGTGTGTTCCAAAAATGATACAAGGTTTATTTCCACCGAACGCCCTTGGCAAAAACCATGTTGGTTGAAACAAAGAGACGATTTAAAATGAAAATAAATGTGCTTATACATTGCCTTTTCAATTACCTTAGAAAAAGAGCAAAGAAGAGAAATATGCCTATAGTTATTAACGCAGTCAGTGCGGCCAAATTTATGTATAGGAACAACCACTGCATTCTTCCATCCTTGAGGAAATACATTGGCCTCTAAGGACATGTTAAAAATATGTAGCAACACAGGGGCAAAAATATCCCGCACCCCTTTACGATGAAAGCAGGAATTCCGTCCTCACCGCATGACTTTTTTTAATCGAGCTTATTTATTGCGGAAAGCACATCTTCAAGCGTAAGATTCGGAACTGCCAAGCTGCGGGTAGATTCAAGAGGAGCATCGGTCATAACAGTGCACAGAGTAATCAAGTTACCGACGGAAGAGAAGAACGTAGCAAAACGATCACAGACATCGTACGGCTCAGATGTATATCCAGAGTCGTCTTGTAATGCAATTATTTTCGATCGACTAAATGTCCTCGTGTACCTTGCGTAATTCCACAGAGCATTAAGATCGCGTTTTAAATTGCGTTCAACTGAATTTCGCCAGTTCTCCCGATCACGCCGTATCAGCTTTTTGGCCGCTGAACGATACTCTTTAAACAGACTCTTCCATTTCTTTATGCCGGTGTTCTTGTACTTTTTATGATACCTCGCTTTTTTACGTAACGTATCACGTAGCTCTCTGGAGAACCAAAAAGGATCGTTGCTAGGTCGACCACTTCTGCGTGGAATGAAATTATTCATGGCTGCAGTTACGATGTCTGTTAGACCTTGAACTGCGCGATCGATATTGGAACAGAGTGAAATAATGCTCCATTTTACGTTGCGAAGGTGATTGTAAAGACTAAGTCCCCACGGGCGTAGTTATACCCGAGAGACTGATTACTCGCCGACGTCCGAGCAGGAAGTAAAATAGAAAAGGGTGAATGGTGGATGCCACTTATCGATAGAGACAAGAGGACAGTCAGCAGCCTCGAAAGTGATTGCTGATATGTTAGTCATGCACAAGTCAAGCGTTTTTCCAGCCCCGTTTGTTGTAGTATTAAGCTGATAAAGCCCATTGAAGTTCACGAACTCCATTGTTTCTTCGGCCCTAGCACGTGCCTCACTTGATGCAGCACTAATCGTGTTTAAATTCCAATCAACGCCAGGCACGTTAAGGTCACCAACGATCATCACATCATCGGTTGACAAATCGACAGCACCGGAAATGTAGTTCAAAATGCCTATGAATGATTGTGTGTCAGAACGAGGTGGAAAGTAGTAATTTCCAATTATTAAGTTAGGCTGGCCCGGAAAACTGATTTGCACCCAAACGCATTCATTTCCTTCTTGCAGATCAAACCTACGAAAACATGATAATGACTTATGCACCGCCGTGAGCACCCCTCCCCCCAGAGTGGCCCGCGAACCAGTTGAATCCCTGTCACATCTGTAAACGCAATATTCGTCAGTAAAATATTCGTTGCTAGAAATTGCTTGTGTAAGCCAAATTTCTGTGATACAGATTACATGAAAATTGGAAGTCGTGACACCCTCAAAGAAAACATCAGGTTTGGTTCGTAACCCACGAGCGTTTTGATAGTATACACGGATGTTATCCATCACGAGTCCTCGTTAGCTGTTGGTCGCTCTGAATCCGGGTCACGCAAGGGCCCCCAAAGGGCCTAAAGAGACTACCTTCTAACCACACGCTAGAGACATTAATTTTGATCAGGCAATCAAGAGTAGTACTCACACGAAAAGAACTGTATGAATCGTACTTACTTCGAAGTTTGGTACACTAAAATGTTCCAGTTTGGAGCACTGAAGACAGGTAGTTGTTCACATCCTCGCACGTCGTGTCCGGGCTCAGCCTCTTCACAAAAAGTGCCCGCTTTACAAGTGGCCGCGGAATCGATGACAGTGAGGCCTTTGTGCACGCACCAACTTTCGCGAGCGGACGTCCGTCGTCGGTCACTGAGGCTGTCACAGAGGATGGATCCTCGACGATACTGCTGGCATGCTCAGGGACAGAGCCAGAGGTACATACATGCCTGAGATGGTGGTGCGATATTTTGCCCAACAGTCTTTTCCTTTGCACGATCAGCGTCGTTGTCGAGGTGGCGACTTTTTTCGGTAGTATTCTGACAACTCATGGCTCCGGCGTAACTCTTGTGGGCACGAGGCGCTGCACGATTGGTAATCTTGGGAGCATCACGGACGAGCTGCGACCAAAGCGATTTGGCTTGTTGAAGCTCACTTCTTATCATGGCTTTTTCCCCTCGCATTATCTTGACTGCGCCTACAAGCAAGTCCACTTTGGCTGTCAAAGACAAAACGAGCATTTCGAGGGAGCTGCTCTGTACCGTTGATTCGTTGTTGGAACCCTCTTCCTCGCCGTCCTTCATAGCGTCTTTTTGGGGCGTGTCCGTCGCGGTGGCATCCAGCTTCGCTTCATCCAGGTCCCGTCGCCTCGAACACGAGTTGCATTTGTAAGTACTCACGCCTTCGGGCCATGAAAAGGCTGTAGTCGTCCCCACGAACGTTAATACATTTACAATGATATCGACGCAGGCATGCACAGCAGTTAAGATATTGTTGGTTCCAATAAAATGGATCAGAGCACAACGGACAGATGTCCTTCTTGGCAGCTATCTTGGCACCTTTCTGCGGAGCGCTGTCAGATACGTCATTCCCTTGTGGCGTCATTCCCTGGAATGACGCCACAAGAAATGAATGTTATATTTTCTTTTCTAATTTGTTTTTACTTTCTGTCGGAGCTTGGATCTGTACTTTTAATGATTACTGGATATACCCAAACCTAGCTGGCTTTGTCTCTTCTGGCGGTTCGAATGCGTTCGAATGCCGGACGCCGCCGTTCGCGTTCGAACAGTGAGTAGAGAGAAAGACAGCAATCCTTGGTAAAAAAACAGTATAAAATAGGTATACTGAAAAGGTACTCAAGTGTACTAAAACTTTACTTCGTCTACTGAAAGCGTACTGAAAATGTACTTATAGACTGTCGTACTGAAAGTATATTCGTAAATACTAAACTTATGCATGCACTTAAACCGTAGTCAGACTACACTGTAACCGTACTCAATTCTTACTAATACCGTATACTTATAATTAGGGTTCTGCGTTTTCGGTTTCTATTTTTTCAAAATTCGGCGTACTTTTTTCGGTGTTTATTTTAAAATTCAATTTTCGGTTTTTTCGGCGTATATTTATGCCCACAAAAGTTTATCGGCTTTTTTCGGTGAATATAAAATGAAGACTAGCGGACACCGGATAAGATGATCCCTGTAGCTCTAATATTTGTGATCACTCAAAGAAGAACGCCACAGATGCATTGGAAAAGAAGTGGACACTTTATTTGGCAAATGTGTGCAACTGTAAAAGAAAAAAAAAAGAGAAAAAAACCTGAGAAGCACAAACAAGTCA